AACACAAAATTCAGAGAGGTGGGGAAAAGCCTATAGAAACGCCAACAGTACAGGGCTGCTCTCTTTTTCAAGTGTGAATATATAGAAATTTGATTTATATAATGACTAAAACTACACATACATACATGCATATTTGTATATGAATGTAGTTTGTATATGGCAACTTACTTAAAAACAACAAACTTAAGATATCAAGGAAGAATAAATTTGCATTGTTGGTGATGTATGCTAATGTCATATCCTATAATTAGTATTCAGCTCTGCTGATCTTTACACAGTCAAGTCCACTAAGAGTTAATCAGAAGTGAATTTTTTGTTAACTGTATGATCATTCCCACTTGACTTACTCATTTTGCCTTCACCAGGGCCTGGAGTGAATTTCATTACTCTTTTAGGCATTTCAGATGGAGTGAATGAAAATTGAAAGTTTGAAAATAATCCTAAAATTTGTGGAAAGATTTTACTAGTTGAATTTCATGTGTAATTCACAGTAAATGTTCAGTGTAGCATCTATATCAGTGAATACAGAAACAACTTATTCTGTAAAAAATCAGAGAAGGCAGCTGAATTCAGCCTGAAGATAGTGAGCATTGTCTCTATGGAAGTATTAAGCAGAGCTTAGATGCCCTATTAGAGTAAGAGAATAAGTTGACATGGAAAGAAAGGATTAGAGTAGATGGCCTTTGGGGCCCTTTTGGACTTAATAAGATTATAGGATGCTGATTTGGTGTTCTTACCACCCATTTCTGTCCAGGAAGCAATTTCCTTAGGACTCTATTAAAGTAGTCTCTGTTTAGATAAATATTAGCCAACCAGACTCTATAAAAGAATGTTTTTCTCTAACTGCGCGAATTTTGGAGTGCAGGAAACTTGAGCTATGTGATTTTTTTTTTTTTTTTTAAGATTTATTTACTCATACAGAGCTGGGGTATAGGTCAAAGGTGCAGGGCGGTGAGAGGCTTCACCAGAGACAGGGCAGGGAACAGAACAGGCATATCCATGAAGTACACTGCTGAGGGGAGCAGCGGACAGGTCAGGAGAGGTCTGCTACACCCTTTGGGTCACCTCTGGGGTGGGCGGGCTTCGAACTCATGCTGAGGTGGCTTTAGCTTCTTAGTGCTGTGCTTTAACCACTGCGCCACCAGGGAGGGCTGAGCTATGTGATCTTAGGGAAATTACTTAGCATCTCTGGACTTTGGTTTCTACACCAGTGAGGATATTGGAGTTTAAAATTTTTAGCACACATACGAAGTTTCCTTGTGAGTTATAAAACACTCCGATTCTTATGCACTCTATAAACTTAGTTCATCATAGACTTCTTAAACATTTTGATGTTTCCTGGCAACTATGCGTAAAAGTTTTGTGAGGATATATTCCCTCGATTATATTTATATCTGCATATATGTATGTAATTATACATAAATTCAATTGTTTGACAAAGTTGTTTTGAAATTAGGTTGTACTTATTTATATACCAATTGACATTAGAATTACTGTAGTTTGACATCATCTTTAGAATTTGACATTGTTACTTTTAAATTTTGTGTCTCATGATTATGAAATATTAATTTATGGTGTCTTTTTTTTTTAAGATTATTTACTCATATAGAGGTGGGGTACGAGCCAGAGGTGCAGAGCCAGTGAGAGGCTTCACCAGAAATACAGTGGGGAGCAGAACAGGCCGACTGGTGGAGTACACTGCTGAGGGGAGCAGCGTATGGGACAGGAGAGGTCTGCCGTGCCATGTGGGCCACCTCTCCAGCTGGGGGTCAAACTCGCACTGAAGGGCTGCGACCAGCTTGCAGTGCTGTGTCCTAACCCTCTGTGCCACCAGCGAGGGCCTGATTTATGGTTTTAATTTGTATTCCCTGATGGATACTGAGACTGAGCTCAGTATATATATTTATAAGTCACACATTTCCTTTTCAAAAGTGCCCTTATGTTTATTTCTTCTGTTAGAAGCTTTTCAGATAATATATTCTTTAAACTAATACCTTTCCAGTTGCCAAGTCAGGTAACCAAAAGGATCCTCCTCCTCCTTTAACCCTTAAACTAAAAATTGCCAACAGTTATTGAATATTTACTGTGTAGCATGCATTTTTCTGACTACTTTGCCTGACTTACTTCATTTAAACCTTTGAGTAGACTTCTGGGCTCAGGTCATTTCAGTCTTTATATGGAAATCAATAAACTAAGGCATAGAGCAGTTAAATATTTAGCCTAATGGCACACAACAGAGCTTCAAAGAAGTGTCCTCTGAAAGCTTATTTTTTTCTCTAAATTATATTATTATTTTGTTATGTTGTGTTATGAAAGTATAATAAAACTCCTTGTTTTTAATAAAGTTAATTTTTTGAAACCTTGCCTTTTTTGGGAAGATAATACACTTAACATGAATGTATTTTCATCTTTCTTGTGTTGATTTTGTTTTATTAATAAGGTTATAATTTTACATAGTTTTGTATTCTCATTTAGTCAAATGATATCTTAAATATAATTTCACAACTATAATATTATAATATATGATCATCATCTAATGAGTTGTTTACTACTTTCAGATATTTATTTGCAAGTATTTTTTAAATATCTTCCCTGTGCCAGGCACAATTCATAGTCTTATAGAATGGGAAACAAATTGAAGACCCTGCCCACATGAAGCTTATATTCTAATTGGCTATGGGACTACAATTTTGCACTGAAAAAAATTAGAGGGCTGTGGAAAGTGCTGGGAAGGGAAGATAGGATTCGATCAGTAGATGCCTCTCAGAGCAGGCAACATTAGAGACAACGAAGTACAGATATGTGAAGGAAAAATGTTCTAGACAGTTGAAACAACTGAGGAGCATAGTTGATGTAGTATAGAAATAGGAGAGGGGAAAGTGTGGGCTGGAAAGAACTCCCTAAGAGGGGGACTGAGAGTCAGAAATGGGGAGACACAGACCACATGTGACTTTGTAAACCAGTATAAGAATTTTTTTTGAGTGGTACAAGAGCCTTTGGGAGGATTTTGAATAAATGAGAGACATGATGTTAAAAGTCTCATTCTGATTGCTATGTGGATAATATGTCTCCGTAGTAGTCCTGTGGGATTATGCAAAAATGACCACATAGCTTGCAGGAGGAGTAGATTTTGGTTGTTTAAAAGAAACGTAGGAAGAACTGTTTTCTGCTAGAACAAGTGAATATGCTTTGCACTAGCATGTTTCCAGTGGATAGTTTTTTAATACATATGTTACTTAGTTGCCACCAATTAAGGTATCTTGATTTTATCATATATACCATTGTTATATACCATAGAAGCTCTTTCTCTAGCATAGTCTACTCAGAACCATTGTTATATACCATAGAAGCATTTTCTCTAGCATAGTCTACTCAGAATTACCCTTGTCACAAACTAAGACTTTGGTTTTAGATTAAGCTTTCTATACTTTCATCTTCCTTCAGAGTGAGTTTCTCTTGTTTATGTAAATACACTTATTAGCAACACAGGACTTGTACTTATTATTAACACAGGACTAGATAAGGGACTCCCAAAACATTGAGATTCCCTGAGCTCTCTGTCACGTTAAAGCTTGACTTCTTTCATTTCTTTACTGTTTCCTTTTTTCCCCCTTCATCTGACTTCATTCTAACAGTGGATAGTTACTTGCTTATGCCCCATTTTAAGATGTATTTACACCTTTCATTTAATAAGCTTTAATTTTAAACTTACTGGAATCTCTTGAGTAGTCATTTCATACACATTCTTTCCATTATTAGAAAAACTCATCTAAAGTTGAAAACTAAATCCATTATCTTAAGTAATCCCAAGATTCTTGGGATAGCTTCAAACTACATACCTTTCCTGAAGATGTACGAGTTACTCCAGAACCTCTACTTCATTGTGAGCCAGCTGTGACTAACTAACTTTGCTCCTTTTTGACTGGGGGTGAGGAGGGGGGTTAAGGTGCGGGTGAGGGCGTTAACTTAGATGCAGTTTGAGCACCTAAGAGCCACTCAGAGGGGCAGAGGTGTGTTTTGTAAATGGTAACTGGTGCTGATAACAATAGCAAAAAAAAGTGGCTCTTCTTCCAGAGCAAATGCATCAGGTATTCTAGCATAGCTTTCTAAGCTGTATAACCTCCAACTTAGACCTACCTGAATGTCTGGAAGATAGTCATGGCAGTGGCCTAAGTAGGAGTCCTGTTGTACACAATGTATTCTTTGCCTTGGCAGGAAATAGTGTGCTTATAAAATGTTTTGTGTGAATAATTATTACTCTGTTCTCTTTTCTCCCTAACCTACCCTGTTTCTTCTTCTGTACTTACGAATTAATTTAATTAACATTGATTAGAATATTTTAAAAGAAAATATATTTCTAAAATATCTAGAGTGCAGAAAGGAAAATAGGATGATTTAGAAAGTTAGAAAAAAATTACCTGATATAATGGTTAAAAATGTCTCTTCTACAAAGCAAACAGAAAAAACCCAGTATGAGAAAATAGGATGATTTTAGATTCTTCAGATTTGAAGCCTTCTAAACTAGTTGATTAGCATGCTAGTGCATTTAATGGGGTTTTATTGAAGGATTAAATTTAGAAATCAGTAATTTTCAAAATCACACTTTAAGTTCCTTCGGAAACGATTACGTTGGAGATCAATAACTTTAGAGACAAATTATGGTGTGACTTGTGTTTAAACACTGCGTTGTCTTACAGAATTTATAGTTTTTTTCAGTCCTAGAATCACTGTAGAGGCAATCCGACACTGAGAGGTAGGAGAGCCTCTGGTTGACTATGAAACCAGGAATTCACACCACCCAGGTCATGCTCATTGAGAATCAGGTTGTCCATGCCATTTATATAGAAAATACTCATTTTCCCTTCATTGCTGGATTTTGCTATAATTAAACTTGTGATAAGTTAAAAAAATATAACCCACAGTATGTGATTTGTGTGCAATACATTTTTGTCTGTCATTCAGTTTAATGATGTGCTATATCATTCTTTTATTCTCTACAGATAATGGATTCTGAATTAATGCACAGTATAGTAGGAAGCTATTTTAAACCACCAGAAAGAGTGTTTGTTCCATCATTCACTCAGAATAAGGAAGCATCTCAGAATCACCACTCTGTGAACTTAGATGTTAATGCTACTAAAATGCTTCATAGTCCAAATAGTCAAGGTATGTTAACAAATTTTATTTTAAAATTGGACTATAATCCAAAGTATATTATGTAAAGTGTTTCATTTTTATGTGAAACAGTGTATTTAACTAACTTTAGTAAAACTAATTTTTATTTTATTGCTAAAAGTTTCTATAAACTGAGTTATTTAACTATTTTTGGCTACAGCTATAAGATGACCATTAGTATAACCAAATAACTCTATATATCACAGTCTTTTAAAAACATAGTTAGAAAACAGAAGAATATTCTTTGGAAAGTTAAAGGGCCAATTTTTAACATTTAGAACGTGATGATTAAAACACTAGTGAATTGAATAGAGTTGTGTCTTATTAAAGATTAAATTCAAAAATTGCGTATACCCAAAATTACCCTGAAAGTTCCTTAAGATGTCAATATATTGGTTAACTACAAAATATAAGCATTGTAACTTTTAAAATATAACTTAGGTCCTTAAAATTGAATTAGAAATGGCATACTTTGTGCCGTTCTGGTTACTTTTCTAGGCTGCTGATCATCACCTCGCTTTTAATATTCTATAATTGTTGCCATTAATAAATAGACTACCCTTGTGGATTAAAACAACCACAAGAATAATTCAAATTAGAGAGCCAGCTAGATCACATTAAGCATAATAAATATAATCCTCAGTTGTGAAAACAAATGAAAACATCTTACTAATTGGATATAAAATAGGTGAAGTTAATTTACATTTATTATTTATATTTCATTCATCTATAGCTTTGTAGTTTGAAGTTATAGAAAGCACAGAAAGAATAGAAGCATAAATACGCTTGAAACTTTTATAACTGACTTCAGTTGAATCATGCCAAGTTATTCATATAGCTGAATAAAAAATTATAGTAGTATGTGTGTATTAAAATATGTCAGTCCTGACATCAGGTAAACCACTAGATTATAATTTTTTTCCCACTGATGAAACTGTGTTATACCTCAGCCATCCTGATAATCTTGGATGAAGAAACAATGTTTGTAGTTTGACTAAAACTAAATTCATCAAGAATTAGGAAAAAACCAATAAACCTAAATTTTTAAGCTAAATAATAGATACCATATTTTAATGCTCTTTATCCATATTCAAGACTATCATGTCACCCAGTCTTTCATTTTTTTAATTTGAAAATATTTATTAAATTGTGATTTTTACCTTTCTCAAATCTAGGAAATCACTAAATGCAATCACAAATACATTGTTTTAAAAGATGTTAGGGAGGGCCCTCCCCGGTGGAGCAGAGGGTTAAAGCACTGCACAAAGAAGCTTAAGCCACTTCCACATGAGTTTGATTTCCTACCCCCCCCCCAAAAAGATGTTAGGAAAACTTATCTCTCTTTTGATTTAGTAATTGTTTTCCTTTTTATGAAGAATATACTTGTTCAACTTCTGTCTCACTTTTATATGCTGCTGTCTAAAAATGTTAACTTAAAATAGCAATTTATATTCAACAGCTCTTGTTTTAGCATTGAAGAGTCTTCAGGAAAAGATTCATCGTTTAGAGTTAGAAAGGACACAAGCTGAAGATAACCTGAACATTCTTTCCAGAGAAGCAGCACAGTATAAAAAGGCCTTGGAGGATGAAACAAATGAGAGGAATTTGGCACACCAGGAGCTGATAAAGCAGAAAAAAGGTGAGAAAATTCAGTATTTCTCAGAAACAGGAAGTAATTGAAGTTTACAACTTGAAAATAACAAGCCCCGTCTAAATAAATTTGCTCAAATATTTTCATACTTACGTACTGTCAGAGCTTGAGTTCTTATTCTCAGATTTTTGATATTTGCAGGAAATGGATATGAACTTAAGCCTCTATCATACCAGTTCACAGCTTATAAATTCTTGAGATTAAAAAGAAAAGTTAAGGTTTTAGGCAAATTGTGCTTAGAAATTAGAACATTTTTATAATACCAACACAGTGTAATCCATAATTTATTTTATTCATTTGCTTTTTTAAATTGAGTTAACATTGGTTTACAATACTATATGCAACTTAGGTGAAAAGGTTCCCAGCTCTTCAGACATGTTTCCATTCTCCCACTCACACCATCGGCCCCTACTTGCTCTGCTGTCCCCTACTGTTTACCCTCTGCAGTCAAATTCTAAGCCATATTCTGTAGTCATATTTCTAGGTTAACCTGTGATTTAATTGAAATTGCATTATGACTTAATTGAAATACTTCAGATTTTCAGTTAACAGGTGTTTTAAAACTTGAAACCTTAAAATATAATTAAACAATATAAAAATGACAAAAATAATTTTATGTAACTTGAAATCATTAAGTGGAAGTGGATAGGAAAGTGGAGGTTTCTGTTGAAGTTATGAAAAGGACAGCTGGATACATGTCTTACAAATTTAGAATATCTTTATGTCATTTCACTTCAAAACATAGGTTTTCTTTTTTCCTTGTAACACTAAATTCACCTTCATAAACAAGGTTCAGGTTTGTGTTTTCAACTTATAAACAGAATGAAGGAATAGGGAGAAAAGATTTATGAGGTAATTAGCAAAAGTAAAAGGAAAAACTGAGAAAAGTTTAAAAAAGTATTAGAAGGAGATTGCTTACATCTTATAGAATTAACTTAGCTGTCAGTAGTCAAGAGGAAGAAAAGTGGAAATGATAAAATGTACATTGCTTGGTTTCCTGGAAGAGAAGAAGTATACTGATAGGGAAAGATTTTAAGTCCTGTGTATTTCTAATGTCATTTCACAGGAAAAGCCAGGATTTTTTTTTTTAAACATTTTTACTTATTTATGCATATAAAGCTGGGGTATAGGTCAGAGGTGCAGGGGTGGTAAGAGGATTCACCAGAGACAAAGTGGGGAGCAGAACAGGCCAACTGTAGAAGCATACCCCTGAGGGGAGCAGCCAGCAGGTCAGGAGAGGTCTGCCACATCATGTGGGTCACCTCCGGGGCAGGGATTGAACTCATGCGAAAGTGGCTTTAGCTTCTTAGTGCTGTGCTTTAACCTGCTGTGCCACCAGGGAGGGCCAAGCCAGGATTTTTACTATCCTGCACTATGGGTGTTTAGGAGATAATGTTAAGCCAAGTACATGTAATTAATGACATTCACAAAAATATTTTTTCTTAACTCTGAAAGAACTAAAGAAACCTTGAACTTTTGGCTCTTTATTTTTTGTGAATCAATGAATTGACTCACTTTTCTTTTTCATAGATATAAGTATACAATTAAGTTCAGCCCAGTCTCGCTGTATTCTTCTAGAGAAGCAACTGGAATATACAAAGAGAATGGTTCTCAATGTAGAACGAGAGAAAAGTATGATCTTAGAACAACAGGTGAGCATATTTTCTACAAGAAATATAATTTTATGATTTTGAGAGATATTTAAAATAGGAAAATTGTTATAATGTAAGGATATAAAGCTGTACATAAGAAATTGCATTTACAGCAATGCAGAGGGACCGCCTGTAGATGAAAACAGGACAGACTGGACAGAATATGTTAAAAGGAAGGGAAAAAGACAGACGGAAGAAAGAGAAGAAAATACACAGATGCATTTGAGAATTAACGAGGAGACAAAAAAAAATACCGATTCAAAATCTGTGTGCAATAAAAAGAAAGGGAAAAAGGAAAAGAGTGAGGAAGAAAAAGAGGAAAAAACATGCAAAGACATTAGAGAGATAAATAGCCTCACTAAAATTAAAGTAAGTCATAGTAGCAGCAGCAGGAGTTGCTGCTCAGATTATAGAGTCCCACTAGAAACTAGGTTTCATGGTGGCCAAGCCCTGGAGAATATTTTGGCTGGTAGGGAGATCTCTGGGTTTAACAGCAACTCCCTAAATATTCATCCATCACAGCGCCACTGCTCAGGATCACCTCTATCTCCTGGATGCATTTCAATCTGCTTAGATGAATGGCAGTCACTTTACAAAAAAAAATTCCTTTAAACATGTATTTGTCTAGAAGTCTTTCATGATCATTGGTGAAGGATACTCTCACTGGATATGGGATTCTAGTTGACAGTTTTTTTTGTCTCCAGCACAATAAAGATGTTGTCTCCATTGTCTTCTAGCTTTTGTAGTTTTCTAATGAGATTTGTTGTCTTCATTCTTCTGTGCATGATATGTTCATTTCTCAAGCTTTTTCAAAAGTTTCCCTTTATTGTCAATCAACAATTTCATAATCATATACTGGAACATAGTTTTCTTTGTATTTACTCTTCTTGGAGTTTTGTTTTTTGAGATTCTTGAGTCTGTCAGTTACTGGTTTTCATCAAATTTAGAACATTTTTATCTACTGTCCTTCAAATAATTATTCTTGTCCCACTTTTCTTCTCTGCTTCTGTGGCAGTTGAATACTCACAGTAGCCTCTATTGTTAACATTCTGTATTAGTGTGGTAATTAATACCATCCACAGACTAGTGTGTGTGTATGTATATACATATATATATACACATATGTATACATGTATATTTAACTTTTCTTCATGTCACATGTATGCTTTATTCCTCTGATAGTTGATTTTCTGTGTTACAGTTACATAGAGGCTAAGTCAAAAGTACGTTTGGTTACCTTGTTAATAATACATTAATATAGGTCTTACTGATGTTTTTCTTAGTAGAATTGTTTATAAAGATGCATAAAAGAGTTTGTTCCATTAATACTTACAATATAGTGCATCCTTTTTTACACCTTATATATTTTTTAATATATTAGTTGTTGGCTTTTGCTTTCAAGCACCTAATAAATGTAAAATTATGTATGTGATTCTCATCGCAGATTTATATTGTGCTTTGAATTCTCAGAAATTGCATTATTCTTGAGCCATTGACATCACTTGCCAATTCAGGTTTTGTTTTTATCCTCTCCAGGCTCAGCTTCAAAGGGAAAAAGAACAAGATCATATGAAGCTGCAAGCAAAACTTGAAAAGCTGGATATCTTAGAAAAAGAATGTTTTAAACTTACAACAACTCAGAAAACTGCCGAGGTAAGCTTCTACTTATTTCTTTGAAGTGGTAATGCCAGGAATAAATCTTAAGTGTAGCATAATTGGCACTTTATGCGAATATGTACAGTAAATCTTAGATTTATAAAACTTCATTTAATAACTTTTAGTAAGACAGATATGAATTTCTGCCTAAAGAGATGAAAAGTTAATATCTTGTCACAGCATGACTGAGTTTGCCTTTTTATGTGAAATTATAATTTTGACTTCTTGTGAAAAAGCAGAACATTTTCATTTGTCAGATAATTTACCTAAAGGATAAATTTCACTACTTGCCAGTCAGTTAAGCCTATCCCAGATCCTGTCCTGAAATGCCCTCTTTTCCACCCAAACCTTTTTCATTTCATAGAACTTTCACAGAAGTCTGTTTCTTCTGTGAAACCTTCTTTGAGTTCGTCAGCACCAAGGAAACGTTCCCTGAAATACTATTGTGGTCCTATTTTCAGGCACACCAAGGGTACAGATTAAATACCTTGTATATATGGTTACATAGTGTATATGTGGCTGGCATTACATCATATACATTGTTTTGTTGTTTTGTTTCATGTGTGTTTACTTTTGTTCCCTAAGTACAATTTGCCTTCTTAAGTAAATATAATATAAGAAATATCTTATATTTCTAATATAGGTTTTTGTGTCTTCTGATCTTCAACAACTGTGATCTTATCATATGCACAACGTAGACTGTTGTATTTTGTGACATTCAGACTATGATTGTCTGATTTAAACTTTAAAAAGTTTTATTTGATCTTTATGATTTTGTGGCTGAAAATTAAAGCCTGTATGTATACATTCTTTGCTTTCCCTTACAAAACCCAGAGAAAGCCAGATATTTTGCCCTTCTTTTTGTTTATTTTGTGCTTTAATTTACCCGCTGTTAATTGTAATATTAAAAATCAAGATCTAGGGCCCTCCCTAGTGGCGCAGCGGGTTAAAGCACTGCATTGAGAAGCTAAAGCCACTTCCACATGAGTTCGATTCCCGCCTGCCCCAGAGGTGACCACATGGCGTGGCAGACCTCTCCTGACCCGCCCGCTGCTCCCCTCAGCAATGTACTTCATAGATCTGCCTGTTCTGCTCCCCTCTCTGTCTCTGGTGAAGCCTCTCACTGCCCCTGAGCCTCTGGCCTGTACCCCAGTTCTGTATGTACAAATAAATAAATCTTTAAAAAAAAAAAATAAAAAAATCAAGATCTATTTGGTAAAGGTACATAGACTAATTTTTACATTATAATATAGACTAGTTTTTACATTATAGTCCATTTCTTTTTATTGTTTTGTAGGACAAGATTAAACATTTAGAGGAAAAACTTAAGGAAGAAGAACATCAGCGTAAGCTATTTCAAGACAAAGCCTCTGAGGTAAATGAAGCTCTATATCATTTGTCACAACACAACAGTGTTTTGTAATACTTCATGTTCATTAACTAAAGCCTATAATCCAGATTCTTAATTTCCTGCTTCCTGGATTTTTAATTTATCTCTTTTTGCTATAATAATAAAGTTCTATGCATTGCCAAGAGGCTTTTGCTCTTTTGAAATTCTGACAAGTTAGATATTTTTATTTACAAGAACTGGCATAGATTGTTTTCATTTTAATATGTAGAGGAAATAATTCTTTTATAAACAGTATATGATTGTAATTACAAGCAAATGAGATAACGTTCACACAAAAATAGTAATTTGGGTTTTCTTTCTCAAAACCTAGTTTTATCTTTACAAACTGAGACCTAATATCTCATAATATTTTTAAAGATCTTAAAAATCAATTTTATAATATTTTTTCTTTAACATTATAGCTTCAAACTGGACTTGAAATCAATAGAATTTTAATGTCTTCAGTATCAAATCCAAAATGCTGTAAGGAAAAGAAGAAATCTTCAAAGGTACTCAAATACTTTTTTTTTATTCATTAATACTTATTTTTTCACCCTTTTAATGTTTATACCTATTCAACTCCAGAAAGAATTTGAATAATAATAAAAAGACATACAATAATGCTGTGAAATGAGGAAAAAATATGTGTCGAGTGATGATAACATAGTGTCAGGACAGAAAATTCCATAAAGCCTATATTAAAAAAAAGTAACAGCTGTGGCCCTCCCTGGTGGCGCAGTGGGTTAAAGCACAACACTAAGAAGCTAAAGCCACTTCCCCATGAGTTCGATCCCTGCCTGCCCCCGAGGTGACCACATGGCGTGGCAGACCTCTCCTGACCCGCCCGCTGCTCCCCTCAGCAGTGTACTTCGTCGATCTGCCTGTTCTGC